TGAGTTTGGGGCATGATGGGCAAATCGCGATGCGTGGCCGAGCGAGGTGTTGTGGCAAGGCTGTGCCTGCCGGTAGGAATGGGAGTTGCGAATGGGAGTTGCGTAGAGGATTGTCGTATTTTCCTTGCCTATCCCTATTACATAGTATGAAGAAAGGTGGTGAACTCCTTTCGCCTGCCTCGCAGCACGCGATCTATTCGAATCTTTTTGAAATAGGTCTGCATACTGTACAAAGCATAGTTTCATCTTTGTCCGCACGTGGCTAAATCTATCCCCGTCGGTATTTCCCACAACCTCCGATGACATACCGTGTAGCGTTCATCAGGCTTACGTTGAGAAATCATCCTAAACATTAGTTGCCAGGCAAGCAACACAATACTTTCAAAATACATGATTGTCCATGGGCCTAAGGAGAGACGAACGACCTCCGCCAAACCCACACTCAGCTCACGCCCATTGCTGCACGACGCCAGGCAAAGTAAAGGCGCAGAGAAACCACAACACTCAAACCTTGACCACAAGAACGGCCTCATCCTCAAGTACCGTTGTTGTGGTTGTTGTCACCGTTGTTCTCGTCGTCATCTTCGGACAGGATGCTATCGTCCTGCGCCACGACGGGACTGTCGCGCCGCTCCATCTTGCAAGAAATTCGCCTCCGAGCCCGGGTCCTCGGTACAGCCACGCCATGGTCTCTGTGCCTGTCGGTGACAATGAGGGCCACGGCAACGGATGCGGCGACGTCAGCGGCGGCGGCGGCAACAGCAGCAGTGTCAGCAGCGGTGGCAGCGGTGGCAGGAGGAATCTGGCGTTTTTGTTTGGTGGTTGTCACGGGGACGGAACCAGAGCGGCGCCGGACGAGGCCTTCGTGCTGGACCTTAGCGGTGGCGCGGCCGGAGGAGGGGACGGGGGATGCGAAGGCCTCGCGGGCGAGGAGGGAGGCGGCCAGGGTACCAGTGGCAAAGATCAACAGGTGGGTCGGACACTTGCATACTCTTGTAGTGGTTCAGGCTGTACATGCGAAAACACGAAAACAAAAAACACACCTTCTCCCTTAATAGACCGTGCCTGCAGAGAGTGGGTTTGGGGTACCTCGGCTACCGATAATGTTTCACTAGAATACAAATCAGCGAGGCCGACCAACACTTCTTGCCAATACACCGAAGGTCCTCCTGTTCCCACATGTCCTTCCTGGCCCCTCTCCCCAGCCCGACCTCCCCCACTGCCCTATATATGTCGTCGGGTACGGCGATGTCGAAGAGGCTGTCTTGGAGTTTCAAACGAAGACATAGGCCCTCCTGTTTGTACGTTCTCTCTACGCTGCAGGCATGAAGTCACACTTCAAAACGAAGCACCTCGAAACCTCGTTGAGTACCTTGGGACTGAACACGTCGACCTTCCATGGACCCGATATTATTGGTCGAGTTCTCTGTTGTTGATGGTGGCTCTTCTGGCGATGTTCGAACGGCGAAACGAAGCGCTCCATTACTGCTGTGTCTCCTTTACATGTTGAGACCCTTTTGAATCTCCACATGGAAACGTTCCACCATCGATGGTTTCCATGTCATTGCTCTTGTGACATATTTTCCTGACGTCTTGTGCCCGCATTCCTTTGCGAACGCGATTTTGGTCGACGATAGGGTTTGGCTTCGACGACGTTTGAAAACCTGGAGCAGGACTGACTACAACCGACGACCTTTCCATTGTTGGTCTTAGTACACACAGTCTCTTATTGCTGTTATGTGGTTTGACGCGTGCACATTCACATGTACTCTATACTAGGCCGGCACCACCAAGGTGTTCGACGGTGGAGACGTCTACACCGGGCAGCTGGACGCGAACGGCCAAAGGCAGGGTAAGGGACGGTGCGACTACGGCGTGGCGGTGGGTGCGACTGGAGAAGGGCCGGCTGCTGTCACGGTAAGCGGCGATGGTGGTGGCGGCACCGATGGGTCGTACTCAGGAGATTGGGATGCAGACAAGCCCCACGGACGGGGCGAGCGCCTGTATGCGGCTCCACGCGAGAGGGCAAAAGGCGGTGGCAGTGGTGGTGGAGGAGGAGACGGAGGAGGAGGAGGTGCGGCTGCGGACGTGGATGAGGATACAGCAATTGTTGCCGCCGCTTTCGGCCCTGGGTGTCCCCCGCTGGCAAGCTACCGGGGGGACTTCAAGCGAGGCGTCCGCGATGGCCACGGCGTCTGCTCCTTCTTCACTGCCAGCTGCGGCGGGGGATGTTCGGTGGCCACAAGTGGCACACCGGGTGCAACTAGTATCCCGACCATTCCGGACTCGTACGATGGGGAGTGGGTGGGGGGTCGACCTCTAGGCAGGGGGGTCCTGTCGCTACGAGCGGTGGCGGCAGCACCGGCAGCACCAAGCAACCGGTTCAGCTCTTCGACTGCCGGGTCTAGGTCTGGACCTGCAGGACGCGGTGGCACCAGCGGCGGGTCGATAGAAGGCCTGTGGACGGATGACGGGCTAGCCCACGGGAGGGAAAAGCTTCCGGGCAAGGGAGGCGTCTACGAAGGGCAGTACCGGCTGGGGAAGCGGGAGGGCCACGGCAGGCTGGAGCTTCCGGACGGAAGCGAATATGAGGGTGAAGAGAACAACGCTGTTTGCGGTTGAATGAATAGTGTCACGCGGAGGAACTTTACTTTTACGACGAACTAACACCTCCGCTACAGATCGAATATGGCGTTGGCAAGAGGGTTACGAGGTATCTGGCACGATTTTGTATGCTCAAGTCGAGCATGTCGTGATATACATGAATCACCAGTGCCGCCGACACAGGCCATGTACACTACAGTGAGGGGCCCGATATCAGGCGGTGGTGTGCGTGGTAATATAACCGCCATATATCGGGCAGCCGCCTCATTACGTGAATGAGGCTGTAAATCGCCTTATTCAGGGCAAAATACAGAGGTTTACAGCGGTTGCCACAGTATTCCAAAGTATGGGAAAGAGTGCAAAATTGATCACTATCGTCGCTAGTCTAGAGCACTTGGTATATACTACGTGCGGAATGACCCCTTGCTTCGTGCCTCACTGGGAGCTTGACCATCGTTTGAACACTGCACCAGCGGAAGACAGATTGACGTCGGGGGCGGTTGAGTGCATCATAAAAGTTGGAAATCCACTCTTTGTACACATCTACAGTAGACTAGACGACTACGTATGCCTACCCCAGGACCTACGATTTACTTCGCGCAATGGGTTTACCCCAAACAATACTGTGATCGTCATCTTGGGCGCGTTTCGATTGCCAACAGGGGCTTGGAGAAACGGACGGCAGAACGGTATTGGCACCTTTCGGTGCGGCGTTACGCGTCACGTCTACACAGGGAAGTGGGTTGGGGGGGTTCGATGCGGCAGAGGTGCGGAATGTTACAAGGGGCAGGGGCAGGTGGCAGAGAGGGATTAATGAAAGCGCGTCGTAGGTTCGATGGAAAATCATGTCTCCGTAGAGTGATAAACAACGCTCAAGCATTCGTGATCTCATCTGAAACCCGTAGTAGAGGCGTGGCACCCCTCGGCATGGGGAATTGATAATCAAGTCACAACAATCATTCACTGAATCTTTGTGTTTCTTTCTCTGGCTTCATCTGCGTAGAACTCGTCTTGGTGCTTCGAGCACACGCTAGTCGCTCGTCGACCTTCTTTAAAAACCTGCTTGTGGTGTTGTGTCACTGTGGGCTTCGTTCCCCATCCCCCGTGTGTCTGGTTGACGTCGGCTCGTTGCCCCTTTCTCCCCCCCCCCCATGCCCGGTGTTTGCCATCGGGGTTGGGTTTTCGTCGCTTGGCAACGACGTTGTAAAACGAGCCTCCCCTCCTCGGTGTTTGCCATCAGGGTTGGGTTTTCGTCGCTTGGCAACGGCGTTGTAAAACAAGCCGCCCCCCCCGGTGTTTGCCATCGGGATTGGGTTTCGTCGCTTGGCAGTGACGTTGTAAAACAAGCCAATTCACTTCGTGAACTCGGCAACCAGGTTACCGTTTTTTTTTTTTTCCTCCGGTCTTTTTTTTTCGCGGTAACCATAATGGTGGTCGAGTAGATCATGTTGTGCGGGGTGGAGAACCCTCACTCCGCGCAAGGGGGATGATCGCACCACGTTGTGTTAAAATGGTCAAGCACCCTCGAGGCAGTTACACAGTGCTTACAACTGTCTCTGGAAGTGAAAGCACCAGAAAATAAATTAATTCATACGCAGCTGTCATCCGTACGCAAGGAAGTAAGCACAAGATGCCGAACACCCTTAGCAGGATGCAGCGCACCCTTCATGCGACTCGCCGAATATCTCACGGCGCTTCGCGCTTGGTGATGTGAGAGCCTGGTCCGGTGAGAACCCGGCGTGCTCCGTCCCGGCTTTGTAGGGATGCGAGGTCAATGGTCTAACGACTACGGCATGCACGACTATGAGTACCCCCCCCCCCCCGCCCATGCCCGGTCACACAAGATTCTCTTGCCATTTCCTTACCCACCAGTGGTATTTATCGTTGGTAAATCGCGGCGTATGATACACAAAAACAATACACAAACGACTCGTGCAATTTTCTATCGACGTTGCTCAATTCCAAGAGGGTGGTCTCGAATTCAGGGTTGTGTGCTTGGTTTATTTGGTGTCTTCTTTGTCGGTTGAGGTCTTTGCGGGTTAGCGTAACCTCGTTTATCCACGCGCTTGCCCGGACTCAAACAGGCGTGTGCGAGTACGCCTCGGGCAGCAGGTACGAAGGACTCTGGCTCGACGGGCTGCGACACGGAGAGGGTGTCTTCCACGCTCCCCCCGGCGGAGCGCCCGGTGACGGCGACCCTGTGGCGGGAATATGGCACCGCGACGAGCTCAGCCTCGTGTCGTCTGGTGCTTCTGTTGGAGGATCCTACCGCCCGTCGACGGAGGAGACGGCTCCGTCGACAAGCGTTCTGAACTGATTGGGTTTCAAGCACACGTTATGAATAGAGCAGCTTGTGAAAGCTTGAAGCGTGCATTGCTTACAACGCACAAATATGAAGCACATAATCATGCGCCCGTGCGTGCTTCGGCTAGTGTATTGTGAGCAGTACAGCCGATCCAGCAAGGCACACGAAACTAAGGGCCCCCCTCCCTGTCTCCATCCCTCCCGCGCGCCGCGAGTGGAAGAGAGCACACAAAACACTCTGCCCAAACGCGCCCGAGCTTCCGTTCATCCAACCGTTCAGCAGAGTTCAAGCTGGAGACGAACGGCGAACCGCGCCCTCATGACGATGATCGTACTCTGTACAAGCGTAGACCGTATTTTCACCACTCGAATCCGGCTCCCGCTACAGTAGCGCCTCCTTCACCCTATCTCAGTAGCACACTCGCGTTTTGCTGCCTCTCGAAACAACGTCACGCTTGAGGGATGTCCCCCCGCCTGCGCGTCGGCCACCGATAAAGGCGTGCGCCCCCATTGTACGGGCGTTCTCTGCCGCGCCTTTCGCCTTTGCCATCGCCGTTTTGCCGCGCTCCCGCGCACCGTTTCACCCTCCGGCGCAACCGATTCACACCTCAAGACTAACGGGGAAATCTAGGCTTCTTCTACTGCTTCCCCTGGGCCCTTGCTAACAACCGTGCTGAGGAAGATCGTCCACCCAAAGAACACCACCTGCACCGGCGACGGTGGCGACGGCCACGGCGGGGGCAGCAAGGAACGGGTGGAGGGGAAGAAGAGAATGCAGGCCATGAAAAATCACAAGTCCAAACACAAGCTCGTTCCAAATACAACGTGATTTCGAAGCCACCTCGGATATCAGCACGCTGCGTGAGCGCGTATTTGTGTGTCGCGGTAGGAGTCTGCTCTCTGCACCAAATACTGTCGATTGCAATACAACTTGCCCCGCGGTAGATTATTCCGCCGCGGTTGGACGGAAACATTAATTTGTTCTTGTACATATGCGCGCGCATGTGCTTGTCGGCGGCTCCTTTGAAAATAATTTTGCTTCATCAATTCTCTACACCTCTCGGTGTACCACACATGAGCGGGCACGAAGTTCGCTTTCTACTAGGATAAGTGGTCGTGCCCGTGGTTTGAACTGGGACGAGCGGTCGTGTCGCGCCCGTGATGTGCCGCACAGCAGCGTTGGGCCGTCGCGATTGGTTTAGCTTGGCATCACAGCAGTGGGGAGCGTGCGGTGTGTGACGTACGTATGCACAAGTTGCGTTGATGTTGGTTCGTTATTCCTTTTCGGTACACACGCATCATCATCATGTGCCGCTGATCTGTGCACCCGCAAGTGTGTGACGTCGAACGGTGTGGCAATGCAAGAAGAATAAAAGCGAGCGTACTTTTGTACGCAGCACCGACTGATTGTGATTGTATGCATATGCGAATCGCATTCTCGTCTGTACTCTCTGCATCAGATCGAGTATAAGCCGATGGTTGTCCGTCTTTGCTTACCGCTTTCGTCTTGACAAAACGAGGTAGTCAAGAATGCAACAAGATGAATGCACGCATGCCTCTTTTCGCAAACAGGTATTGATTGGTTGTGTGCGAATCTCCATCTCGTCGGTGCCCACTACCTTCCAACAACACACGGAGGATCTCTTAGAGCACCGTCACGGGTGCCCGAGGCAAGCTGCCATAACAACCTTACGATGCGACCGGCGAGCGCACGACCACAGACCACATCATCGCGTCGCAACCCGTAAGGGATGTACCTTCAACACGTGAACCAGCAACTGCATGCGACGACATATCCAAGCAAAACATAAACAAAACATTCCGGCAACAGCGAACTCACGTTCAGGAAGAGGACTCGCAGCTCCGGGGGGCAGAAGGCGAGGTTCACGACAGCCGCGGGGACGAACACTCCCCAGTTTGCCAGCATCGTGCTCTTGTAGTCCTGGTCCAGCTGCTCCCGGATGTCCGCCACAGCCTTGCCTTCAAGAAGGCCGAGGACCTCCAAGTAGGAGAGACACGGCAGAGGAGGGGAGTCAAAAGGGGAACGGAGTGAGCCATGCGGTGGGATCGAACCGCGGGAGATGGACACTTGCACGATTATCGCCCTAAGAGGCGCCGCATAGGTTCGTATGGCGGCCAAACATCAACGACGAAAGCAACGACGCGGAACACGCCACAGAACGATTTCTTCTGACACACTACAAGCACAGCAGCCACTCCGCTGTGCTTGAGAGATCCCGGAAACTCGCAGAGCAAGTGCGCTGACACATACCCCAAAGATGACCACCGTAAAGATTGGTGCTTGCACGAACTGGTCGATCAAAACCTTCACAGCCGTCGTGGTCGAAAGAGGGTCGGGGGTCGGGGGCAACGCTCCGTCCAGGAAGACGTAAAAGAACTGAATATAGAAATGCGCGTGCGACATACACACAAGAGCACACAGAACCGGAGTGGTTAGCTTCGACAGATATGGTGAGGAACGAAGACCAGCGACGCGGAAGGGGATCTTTGACCGGGGGGGG